GGTCTGGCATGAAACGAAACGCTTTGATTTTCCTGGTGGAAGAAGTGGCTCAAACAGATCTCACTCTGCAGACGTTCAGGTTTCAGCCAAGTCCCATTTTTTGGTGGGGTTGTTTCCTCATTTATGCATATCCGGCCAGGAGAAACGAAGCACTGACTGCCAAAGACTGCCCCCGAATAGATACATGAGTACAGGAACAGATGTAGATATAGGTAAAGATATAGATAAAGATGCGGGCATAGGTATATAGAGATACAGGTATAAATAGAGATAAAGAATTAGAAATAAAGTTATGTACATCTATGAATATTTGTATACACTTGCATATACTTGGGGTGTGCCTCTCTGTCTCTTGCTGCCTCCGCAGCATCCTGCAGCTTTTGTCCCCGACCTGCTCCCTGCACAGCATTGCTGCTCTGAACCCCAGCGCGAGCCTGCAGGCAGCAGATGGGTGCAGACAGAGAGCGAGCGTGGGAGGACGATGAGCCAATATTGCTCAGTATGATAGACAGTGGTCTTAGCACACCAGCAGCCTAATTCAGTCTTTTGCTGTCAGTCTTTTCGGTAGATATGCTGGCAAAGGATGGATTTAAGGAGGAATGTGATGGGGAGCAGGGCAGCCCTTGCTGCTGTTTGCAGAGATGGTCTGAGTGCAAGGAGAGGGCTGGAGGACAGCAGTGGGGGTTTGGCTGCCCTGTGCCCAGCAAACCCTTGCTATTGCCCTGCTTACTGGGTGGAACCCAGTTGCTCTCAGCCCTAGGACCTTCCAGCTCCCTCCAGGTCTGTCCCTAACAGAGCAACTCAGGAATTATTTTGCAGAGGTTGCTCCCCCACCTCTCCGAGCCCAAATCTTTTACTTTGCTTTAAATATCATAGAATGATACAATCATAGAATCGTGGAATGACCTGGGTTAAAAAAGACTGCAATGACCACCTAGTTTCAACCCCCTGCTGTGTGCAGGGTCACCAAATATCAGACCAGGTTGCCCAGAGCCACATCCAGCCTGGCCTTGAATGCCTCCAGGGATGGGGCATCCACAGCCTCCTTGGGCAACCTGTTCCAGTGCCTCACCACTCTCTGTGTGAAAAAACATTGGTGAGGAAGTCATTGCTGCACATGTTCATTATTCTCTTTTGACACAGTGCAGTCCACTATTATCCACACTCTTTGCAAGAAGCAAGGTACAAACGTACATTAAGAGATTTGCAGTGGCCATGGCAGCGTTGCACCTGGTATTTGATAAAGGACACAATTTGGTGTCTTCCTGATGAGCAAAAAATTACATCATTGCTTCTGTCATGCATAAGCCAAGATGCTTGTTTATGGTGTGAACTCTTGCAAGGCTTGTATTATGGTTTATAGTGCAGTATAACATTTGCGTGTGTCCTTATACTTTCACTGTTCAATCGGTAAGAAAAGAAAGAGGAAATAAGATTTGTTAGCAATAAAGCAGTATACAATAGCTATTAAAATGGGGTAATTACATAATTAGCACAGTAGTGGTAACTCGCCCAGCATGAACAACAGTAAAACAGGCCCCGGTTTCCCTCAGTCTGACTTGAGCCGGGACCCTAACAAAACCTCCAAAATGGTTATTTAGTTGAAACACACACGAAAAACTTAAAAGCCATCGTAAAACTGAGAAGGGAGGCCCAAAAAACCACAGGGAAGCCAAACACTTTCAAAGAAACAATAGTAAATTAGGTGTTAAAGATATAAAAGCCTGTTCCCTAACAATTTAATTAGGTAGCATGTCTGTTACAGACATTATGCTGCTAGTTTTGGAGCCCACGGTGGGGCCTCACAGCTCTCAATTCACACTAGCCCCCAAGAGAGGAGTTTGTTATGAAGGACTGATGTTTTTGCTCTACAGAAAAGTGTGATGGTAATCAAGTGAAAATGGCAGGTAGCACAAGGAATTACTATTTTTCTTCCCCTTTGCAACTTTCCTCGACATATTTTTACAGTAATTAAAAGCCCATTTTGAAGAACAGCCCTGTTTTTAATTAGCACCTGCTTCAGTTTCACCTGAGCTCATTCCCTCGAAGAAAGACCAAAACAACCAAGATGGCTGGGCCGGGTCTTGGCTCAGAGAAGTGTGCCAGCAGCTCCCGTCCTGGACGTGGGACAGTGCTGCATCCCCAAGTGCTGCTTCGTGCCACTCCTGCTACTCCATGGGCATCCCTTCTGCCTCCTCATGCTCTCTCTGAAGTCCTTTTGGTGCCTGATCTCAGAGGCAGGACTGCAGCTGCTGGGCTCAAAGTCATTTCCAGGGACAAAATTTCCTTTGGCTTATTTCTTGGCTGTCTGTCCTTCCATCACCTCACAGTGATACGAACTTACAGGAGCTGAGAGCAACAGTGAGCTGAGGGGTCACTTTAAGTGGAAATTCTTTGTGAAACAATGGTGATGTATCCCTGCTGGAGTCAACTGAAGCAAGTGGAGAAGTCCTGAATTCACCTTTCTGTCACTTAGCATGTTTTGACTTCATGCTCAGCCTGATTTTAGGGTGCAATGCTTGTCCAAGCTTCCAGTTGCAGGAGCACACAGGTTCACTCCAGCATCACCAGCTGGAGAAGCCAGAGCTGTCCACTTCCAGCAATGCACAGAGATGTGTGGCCTCTGCTTTGAGTGATCCAGAGATGGATGACAGCATTTCTATATTATTTTCTGAGCTTCTGACTTTTACTTATGCCTTTAGACTTGCTTCCGGACCTGTACTGCTGTGCGAAACTGGAAAAAGGAGTAAGCCTTTAAAATGGGGTCAGCTGTGTTCCAAGCACTTGTTTGTATGGACTGGGTATTGGGGCTGGAGAAGAGCTGCTCCCTGTGACGCTCATATCTTAAGAGCATGCATACCTCTCTGGGCATATACTGAGAAGGGCTTCAGAATTAGAGAGAGGCATGCATACTGCGGGACCTGGGGATGCTCCCATGGATTTGCTGGGCACTGATGCAGGCAGGACTGGTTCCCAATGGGACCGAGCAGCCAGAGTGGATGGGTGGCTTCATCTGACCCTGTGTCAGCCGCTCAGCTGAGCTGCAGCATTTCTGTTAAGGAACAGAGAAGCAAAGACTTCTCTTACCTCACTATCTGTGTCTAAGCCATTGAGACTCCACTTCTCCTCCCAAAGTAGCTGGCAGCAGCTCCCCTCCCCAGGGTGCACAGGCTCCTGCATTTCCATGCTTGTGTGCATTGTTTGCAGAGGGCTTTAGAGTGGAATCCTTCTCACAAGACTTTTTATTTTTTTATTAGCACTTCATTGTTTTTTCAGGGCTGGAAACAAGCTCAGCTATCCTGATGCTATTTTGGACCTCACACCTCTACTTGACCGAAGAGAACTAAGGACAGCTGCAAAAATACAAACAAACAAATAACTTCGACCACTGGATATGCTTTAACTGTTAATGAGCTAAGCCTAACAACCCCCCTAGGAGGCACATGTTAATTTATATGTTTGCATTAGGTCCATCCTGCAGCCTCTCAAGCTGTCTGTGCAGGCAGGACGAGCTGAGCAGGGCATAGAGGTGGCACGGAGTCTATGGTGAGGTTTGACTGTGCCACTGGGGCTCGGTGTGGCAATGCCCATTCCCTGCTCCTGAGGGATGGTGAATGGGACTGCAGACAGGAGCTGCAGAGCTGCAGGAAACCATCGTCTCATGTGTAAATAGCAGCATGATTTAGCCTGCGGCAGCTGCCAGAGCAGTGTGCTGGATGAAGCTGTGCCCCTTGCCTGTGAGGAGCAGGCCTCCCGTCCCTCGCTGCCCTGTTTCAGCCTCCTGTTTTCACCATGGGCTGCTGGAGCCACGGGAGCTCCTTCACCCACGTAGCACAGGGGTTTCCCCCCAGCCTGCCAGGCCGTACGCTGCAAAAGGCTCAGGGACACCTCGGGCTGTTGGTGCTGGAGCAGCAGAATGGGCCCACAGGCTTCAAGTGTCTCCTTGGTCAGAAAAGCAAAATGTGTAAAAATAGCAGCTTACTGTTGAGGAAAACTGCTTCCTGTCTGGGCCTTATTTCATCACCCAAGGCCAGAGCAGCGCAGCTGTGAAACCGCAGTCTGACCGCGGCTCTCTGCTCCCTACCAGGACATGGCCAACGTGCTGCTGGCCGGGGCACCTCAGGGTGACCTCCTGTCCCCGGGGCTCTGCCTCAGAGAAGCCAGCCTCGAACACTTGGGGCTCTGCATTTGAAATACATGACTTTTTTGTTGTCGTTATTTGTTTGTTTGCACTGAAATCACTCAGAGAGGCTTCTTAGCCCTGCTAGGAAGTCCCCACCCTGTTTTACTGATGATCTAAGCTTGTAGTTTGTAACCTCTTGGCCGGCGGTGGGCATTTGTGGGCTGAGTAACTCAGTGCCTCTGCACCTGAGATGGGAGGATGGCCATTTTGTTTGTATGTGGGATTTGTGTCCAGTTGGACAACAGGAGGAAAAGGCTGCAGGGCCCTCAGAGAAGCAGGCTGGAGAGCAGACCTCAGACTGGATCAGTTCTTGAGTCTGATTGAAAGCTTGTAGCTTGAGTACAGTTGGCTATTAGTGGGCATAGGAGTAAAGGCTGGTGGAACTGGCATAGTTTGGTCCAGGGAAGCCTGGAATTAAGTGACGTTCTGTTACCAATGCCCAGCAAGATTCTTCAGCTGCTGGTACTGCAACACAGAGGTGAAGTCACTTTGTAGGCGATCTTAGAAACAACCCTAACCGTAACCCTTAAGCCAAGTTTTTTCCTGAGGTAAATACTTCTCCAGTACTACAGGACGTCTCAACGGATTCTCCAGAGAACCTGTGAGGAAAACAAAGAAGCAAAGCATGAAATGGCATTAGATATGTCAACATAGTGTATGGGAACTGCTGAGTCCTGGCCTGAACCACTGATTGAGCACCTGGAGAAAGGACCTGGTCAGCCCTGAGAGCACAGGCAAAGGCAATTTAGCTGTGAGACGCAAAGGGGGTGCAGCCTGGCTGCATCTCTCTTACACCTCATTTAAGGGCTGACTGCCACTGGGGAAGGGCCTCTGGTTGGAGAGCCCTCCTTGTTGAAGCTTTCCCTTGCAAACCTGGAATCTTCTGATACAGGTGAGCAATCTTCTTCCTTTCCTTGAAAGCGCTTCTCTATTGTGCCAGTTCTTTCATCATCACACCTCTGTGGTAATGCCTTTCCTATTGTATTGATCTGCTCAATTGCTACACGTGGCTTCAGATGAGATCTCACCCTAGCAACTGATGATTCCTCTGTGTTTCTGCTGATGACCCTCAGTCAGTGCTGCACCAGCCTATGTGGTCACCTACCCTCACTTTCACTGCACTGTCAGATGAGCATCAAACAGCAGCGAGCTATGTCACCCAAATCCAGTAAAATGTCTGCACATGGCAGGTGAAACCCAGAAGTCCAGAAAGAAACTTCAAAAAGGAAGGAGCATCTCAACCCTGTGTGTATCTCTGTCTGAAGGCCTTGCAAACAGATGAGCAGAGGCTGCCTGAAGTTTGCTCAGCTATGCCATGGTACGTGGAGGTGGCTCGCATTTCACCAGCACTTGTAGTGTGACTCACCCCAGGAAGAGGTTCCTCTGCTCGTGGTGGGTCCGGGCACTAATGTTATTACTGTAATGGCCTGGGTTTGCAGCTTCACATTCTTGTTGTCTCTCTCTTGGTTTTGGTCAAGGTACACTCAGAATTTGTTTTTTTTTTTGTGCCCACCTTAGCAGAAAAATAACCATGAGAATTTACATCACTACAATTCCTGTTCCCAAACAGGCTGTAGATAAATACTCCAAGCTGCATCTGATTTGATTTAAGATCTTATTTCTCTTGCTGAGGTATGTTTCCCTCGTGAGGAGGGCAGTCATCAAAGCCATGATGATTCACGCAGTTTTGCAAAGGGGTGGTTTGCCAGTTGTGTTCTCCCAAGCTGTTGCTAGGCTTGTGAATCAGATCTACCTTATTCGTTCCCACAGAGCCAAGGACTTCAGCTGGAGCCGTGGCTGGGGGAGAACTGAGTGGTAATGAGGGTTGGGTCAGGAGGGGGAATTTCCATTCTGGGGGAAGTCCTGACACTCCCCAGCTCTTTTGTTATGAATTGGGATGAAAAAGTGAAATTTGGAAATCTCCCATGAGATGTATATTTAGAAACTAGTCAGGAAAAAAGAAAAGTCTAAATAAGACTAAATGATGTTGATTTGTTTCTACTTTCCTATTGTATAAAAATGGAAAAACGAGACATAGCGCAGTGAGAAATATCTGAATGCACAAATGCAATACAGATTTTATATGTGTAGCTGTGGAAGCAAAAAGACCATAATGAAATGGAACACATCAATGCCATTGAAAGGAACCACCGCGGCGGTGATGAAACACCATGTTTTGACATTCTCCTGTTGTAAAATTTCATTGAAATTGACAAACTGCCGAGAAATATTTTGATTTTGAATAGACTGTACTGGATGAGAAATTGCACTGTTGAAAATTTTTCAGCTGGCTCCTTTGCAAACTGAGTAAACAGCTGACGAGCAGGCCATCGTCACTGCTGGAGACAGCGAGACAAACATGCGAGGGTCAAATCCTGAGCATTTCAGCAGTCACTCATCAAAATACCATTTGACTTGAGCAGGAAGCTGGACTAAATGTGAACGGCGGTGTTTGGCACACGGTGGGTGTCCAGATGGCCTTGTGTTAGGCACTGCCTTCTGAGGGTGGATCCCACCCAAGTTATTATCAAGGATTCTTGCAACAGCCACGGGAGAGATTGACAAGTCAGATCGCCTTCATTAGGAGCCAAATTCGGGTCTGCTAAATCACCCTCTAAATTTCAAGCAGATGAAAGACGCTGAAGGAGGAGGAAGATGGCAAGAAGCGTTGTTCACTGGAATGCATGTACTGGAACTCACACTCACGTCTTCTGCTGGAGGGACCTCTGCCAAGGGAGAACATCGCTTCTCAGGAACTGCTGGTTCGAATTGCCACTTAATCTCTTCAAATTGGCTTTCGTGTACACCCGTGGCACATGGACCTCAGCAGTCTGGTAAGTCTGAAAGTCTGCATTGTTCTCTTGTCAGGTTCTGAGAAAGACGAAACAAAAATGCTGAAGTCCAGTTGCCTCACTTCCAGCAATTTCTTTTAAACTAGTTGCTTGAAGTGCTGAAGAATAATATCCACTTAATGTGCTGTCAGGTAGAGAAATGTGTGCCCTGCTTTTGAAGACGTGATGATGTACTGCTTTGTCTCAGGTGCAGAGCTCAGTGCAGCCTGAGGAGTTGCACTAGATGCTCTAAAACCTTACCCTGGCTGCACTGAAAAGTGAGGTAAGAGATGCAGAATAATGCCTGACACCTCAAATGGTGTGTATCAGGGCTATTGCGTGATGAATGAGTTTGCCTTGGGAGTTGAAATTCATGGGTGATAGCTGTAGTGGAGCAGACAAGACTTCTGGATGTATAAAGAAAGAAGGATACAACTCTGAATTTATACAAGACATATTTAATGTAAAACCCTAATGAAGGGTAATGCTTTGACCCCAAGGAAGGCATACATTTGCAATGAAGCTCTGGGATGCCTCACTTGTTGATGGCACACAAAAGCTTGGCAAATTTGGACTGGGAGATAGGCACTGTTATATGTCAGTGTGCAGCCTGGCTGCTGCTATCACAACACTGGGAGATGGGAGACCTCACAGAGTTCCCTGTGAGGGCTGTATTTGTTTTCCCTTATGACTTTGGCATTAACAGTGGTGTTCTACTAAATGTGACAGATACCACCTGCAGGTGGCCTGTAGTTTTGAGGAGGTAAAACTTCCAAAGCATTGCTCTGTTCAGCAGTGAAATTCCACTGATCTGGAACTTCGGGTGCTTTGTCCCCTGGTTTGCTGATTTGCTGCAAACCTGCTGTTTCTGATTTTCTTTCTGTGGCAATGTATTGGGAACACAGTATATGGCTTCTTGAAGCTTAGAATTGAGCAGGCAAACCACTGATGTGCAAAAGAGGCTTTTGATGCGTGGCAATGTTGTAGACATACAAAATATGGCATGTCTGTACAAACACACATGTGCAAACACATTTAGTACTGCTGTGGCTTCAGAAGCACCCTGTGCCTCCCCAGAAGCCTTTCCAGAGGCAGCAACTCAGTCCTGTTACCTTGTGTCTTCCTCTGTGAATGTCCCTTGTACAGCAGAACACAAGGAAGATTCCATCCTGAGTCCCAGAGACGCCTTCATCTCTGTATCTATGCAGCCCCAACCTGTGGCAGCTCTGTGGCCATCCTAAGCACGCGATGCTGGTGAGGTATGTGACCACACACTTGTGCAATGCCTCTAGTTCCTCCCTGCATGCCTCCACACAGGCTGTGCTGTGAGTTCTACTTTTCTTGTTTATTTTGGTTGTACCTGTATGTTCTTCTGCAGATTCAAAGCTCTGAAGAAGCGGTCTTGGCATGACTGTCTGCTGCTGAGTTTGCTGGAGAAATTAAAACTTGTCTTACAGAAGATGGACTCACTGGTTTTATTAATATTGCAAAATAGCTAGATTTGACAAGCAGCCAAGAGCAGAGCTAGTCCCTTTCCCAGCCACAGGTTGTCTTATAGTGAACCCTTCTTTCACTTGGCAGTGCACCGCAAATGTGAGAACCATGCCTCCTCCTGCCATGGCTCTCACATTACCCTCATCTCCACCACGCTGTCCAACTCAGCTTAGCTGAGCATGGAAGCTGCCTCCTCACCCAAGCCTGCAGTGCTTAGCCAGGTGTGCCTGGCTGGATGAGGGAGGGGGACACCGTGTATCCTGATGGCAAACAGGTCCCATGGCAAACACTGTGTCTATAATAGGAGGTGCCATGAGCTGCTCACATTGGCCAAATGTCCCATGGTTGGTTGAGATGACCCTTCACCTTTGTCTGAAGAGTCACAGCTTGGCTTTTCTACAGCTCCAGGTAGAAGGAAAAGTGCCACTGGCTGCAAGAACTGAATGAGTAATTTGTGATGAATAATTCATGGGAGCAATGCTGCCTTTTTTCCAGAATGCGAGCTGTCTGTAGGAAAAGGCTAGGTTTTTCCCATAGAAACTTTTTATTTGGAAACATCTATTGAACAATCTCTGAAAAAAGAAAATCTTGGTCTGCAGCTTATTAGTGAGTTGTTTGTTGTGAGTGTTTGATAGTCCAAATCCAGACTGCCTCGCGTGCATGCATGCAGCTCACATGGGCCTGATTAAAGTCCATCTAAAGTCAGAGGGAGCCCAGGGTGGCCCGTGCAGTCTTCTTCTCAGGAGCAGGTTTCTCCCACTCATTGCACCCAGGTGCAGGTATCCACTGTGCTTCAGTGCTGGGCTCAGAACTGGTCAATTTGAAGAACAAATCAATTAATTGTCAGCATCCTCTAGTAACAAGTACAAGTGAGCTTCAGGCAGTGTCCATATAAACTCAGAATTGTTATACAGGTTATAGAGTTTAAAAGGTCTTGTGAAACATCGTTTTGGGCAGAGGAGACAAGACAGCCTTGTATGTAAAGGACTTAAATTATGCAGAATACTTCTTTTTATAAAGCACTTCTAAGCACAGTGACTGCTTTTTTCCGTGCTTCTACACCAGTTCTGCTTTTCCCAGTTTTAATTGTACTGAGTGGCTTTACTGTTGACTCCAAACCCTTGGAGCAGTCAGCAGGAAGTGAGCACTCAGACATGTGAGAGGACTTGGACCACAGCTTCCCACCCATGCCAGTGAAAGGGTCCTGCTGGGACTTGTGGAGAATGGAGCTCCTGGGCCATCCAGAGCAGTGTGAACCACCATAGAGAGCTGTGGTATAATCTTGCATTATTTTTCAATTCACAAGCTCTTTTCTTCCTAGTGAGCCATCTCACCTTGCTGTTTTGAGGGCTTGAAATCTTTTATGACTGGAGAGCTGAAGGCACCATCTTTAGGCACCATCCTTTGGAGTGTCTGGCCTGCAAGCATGAGTTTTCTAACTGGCACTTTTAAAATCTCCCTTATTCTCATGGACTTTTCCAAGAGGACATTGGCTGGTGGAGCATGTCAGACTGCTTGCCAGCCACCACCTACCTGCAGTGACATTTTGCAGCTCCTTCAAGGAGGCTGTAAATACGCACTGGACACATCTGACTTCAGCTAACCTGGACAAGGTTAATGTCACAGAGATGCGGGGAAGACAGGGAAAGTGATCCCTGTGAGCTCAGTGGCACTGTGGCATCATTCCCTTTCCAGACAGTAAATCATACACTAATGAATGAGAGTGGTCATTTCTGAGAGCAGCAGTTGGGGGAGTTGAGAGCAGACCTCCAGGTTGTTCTCATCCAGCCTGAGTCAGCCAGGGCTCTGTTGTACTGGGTTTGCTGAGATAATTTTTTCTGCAGCACCTTGTACAGTGCCCTGTTTAGGGTTTGTGACTGAAACAGTGCAGATAGCACACACTGTTTTAGCTGTTGCTGAGCAGTGCTTGTGCGTCAAGCAGGCTGGAGTGCACAAGGAGCTGAGAGGGGGCACAATGAGGGAAGCTGAGCTCTGCTGACCAGGGGCATATCCCATACTGTGAGACATGCTCAGCTCATGGAAAGAAGGAGGAAGAGGTGATGGTCAGAGTGCATTTGTTTTCTCAAGTCCCCATGACGTGATGGTAGTGGCTGAACACCTGTCTGTTGATAGAAGGGAGGGAGTAGATTCCTTACTTTGCTTTGCTTGTGCATGCAGCTTTTGCTTCCTTTATCAAACTGTCTTTATCTCAATTTATGAGCTTTTGCACTTCTGCCCTTCCCAGTTCTCTCCCTCAAGTAATGGGGGATCACAGAATCATAGAATTGCCTGGTTGAAAAGGACCACAATGATCATCTAGTTTCAACTCCCCTGCTATGTGCAGGGTCACCAACCAGCAGACCAGGCTGCCCAAAGCCACATCCAGCCTGGCCTTGAATGCTTCCAGGGATGGGGCATCCACAACTTCCTTGGGCAACCTGTTCCAGTGTGTCACCACTCTCTGTGTGAAAAAACTTTCTCCTAATATCTAACCTAAATCTCCTCTGTTTTAGTTTAAAGCCATTCCCCCCTTGTCCTATCACTATTCACCCTTGTAAACAGGGTCTACATACACCTATACTGAGCATGGAAGACATGTCAGCTTTTTGTGCCTGAGCAGACCAAGGTTCTGCAGCACATCCTGGAGATCAAATCTCAAACCATCCCTGCTGCCTTGGTATCAAGCACTTCCAGATCCAGGCTTTTGGCTCCTTTCAAGCTTGCTGGCAAGTAGAGAGTGATGTCCTTAAATACAGAGAGAGCTGAGAACTTTTTGGTGGAGCTAGTGCATGCACATCCAAGCAAAGTCTGGAAAATAGAAGGGGAATGGAGCCTGCCTGTGAGGCTTTGCAGATAGCCAGGGCTCAGCAGTGTGCTCCAGCCACGGAGCACTAAGCCATGACAGCAGGCTGGCGCGGGATCGTCGCAGATTATTAGTGCCTCCTGCTTTATAAGCGAAGCTCTGGGGGAGGAAATATGTAGTGAAGTGAAACTGGTGATTGTACAGGCACGCCAGCGATTAAGGTTGAAGTGGGTGGGCAGTCTGTGGGGGCTGGTGTGTTAACTCCAGCCAAGGAGAGGCACAGGCTTTCCAATCTCTGCTATCTCAGTTTCAGCGCTGCAGACAACCCATCGGGGTGTCATTAACGAGCAGTTACTTCACTCTCGTTGCTGTGCTTTAAGGAAATATGTCAAAGGCATTTCTGGTGAGCAAGGGCTCGGTGCGATCAGATTGCTTGAGCCTTCTCACAGCATTCCATTCAGATTATAATACACAATAGTTCAGACCCTGCTGTGTCCCATTACTCAATTATGAAATTGCTTTAGAAGTTGGGAGCTTACTGATTGGCTCTGAATGATTTCATACCCATCATATTTCTGCGTGTTTGTGCTCTTGGGCTGATTGCTTGTTCTCGTTGGTTCAAGCTGCTTCACTCTTCACTTTCATACACGAGAATGTATTTTATACTTTCCCGTATCACTAAAAAAATTACCACTCAGCGTTCTTTGTCTCTTCAGGTTGGTGGCAGAGACACACACGACCTCTGAGGTCAGTTGCTGTGGGTTTGGAACCTTAATGTAATTGCACAGCAGCAAGGAGAACTTGGAAGATGTGGTGAAGTGAATGACAAGCAGCACAGAGCTCTTCTGCCTTACTGTGGGCTGTTTGAGAAAGAGGGCTGGGACTGCAGATGAGGCCAATTGTACAGTTTCCCTCCTTCATACTGAATCCTCAAGTTTTACCCACTAAGAATCACAACCAAAAGGCATGATCAGACTGTATAAAAATTTAACTTTGGTCACAAATTGAATGGAAAAAGCAAGGAAAAGGTTACAGTGACTGTTCAGGAATGATTTGCTTTTGTGCATCCCCCTTATGCTTTTGCAGGGATTTTACACCTGTTTGAACTAACCCCGAACCCCTAAAACCTGAATCATGCCATTTGATTCTTCAGAACAGCCAGTCTGTTGGTATGCCATGCAAAACTGGAGTGAACAAGAACAGAGACTGGGCCACTCGGCTCATGCATCCTTAGGACCTGTTTGCATCTGTCCAAGGAGAGCTGAAGCAAGGTCCTGTTCTAAATTAAAAGAATGTTACATGCTGTAGTTTGGAGAGCCAAAATAAACTCAGTCTTTGAACTTTCCTAAAACTAACTGCAAGCGATCGCTTTGGGCACCTATTGTTATTAGCAGTGTCAGTTTTCAGAAACATTTTGTACCAATCAAAGCAAAAAAAGCTGGGGCTGACGGACTGATGGCACACGGAATTGCCAGGGTCTAGTAGAACAATACCATTGACGTCTTCTAAGGCAGTGCTGAACTTACAAATTTTCTGCATAGGAAATGTCCTTGGTATGCAATTAATAGTTTTCTCTCTTCTTCATCAATAAAGGAATGTGAGTCAGCATCAGAGCATACTGTTTGGGAGGCTGGATGGGTTTAGGAGCCTGTGTGCGTGGCCAAGCAACTGGATGCCATTGACCTGGTGCTCAAGCCTTGATCTGTTGTTCAAAGGGGAGAGACTTCTTTAGAAAAAGCCTGAACTGTGGCAATCCCTTAAGAGTTTCTCCTGGGCCAAATACTGAAATCCTCTCTAGGTTAATTCCTCACTGGAGACATTCAGAGAGTTGCACAAGTCAAAATGAAATGAAGACACTGGAACTGTCTGGCTTATTCTTAGGGAATAATTTATTTCCCAGAATCAGCATTTATTTTTTTTTTTCCCCTTCAGTTCAGATCAGACCACCAGCAGGTTTGTTTCACCCTCTAGGTGTTGTCAGGGAATTACTGGAAACATGACTTTCTATACCTTTGATGCTCTTAAAATTATAGCCCCTTTTCCCTACACAGAGATGTAGCTAGAAGGTCTGTGAAAGGTTTTAGCTCATGTTTCCAAGAAAGAACCACTGATTTTCTGATGAGTTAAGGCTTTGGCAACAGCAATGGGATTCTC